CTCTCATGGGCATGCGTGTGTGTGTGAGGGTGTGTGTGAGTGATAAAATATGGAGAATGTTTAGTGATCTTAGAATAAAAGTAGAAATGTAGATTTCTACCTTTTTAGAGAGATTGGTGAGAGGATTTTGAGAGAATATGTAAGGGAATGTTCTAACATTGTATGGATCGGCGGGAGATTTTGTGGGAGAGATTTTCATCTTTCTTTCAAGGGGAAAAAACTAAGTATTGTGTTTTTCACTATCTTATGATTTTGTAAACACTTATCTAGTGGATTTGCTTTGATGTAATGAAGTTTTTCGTTTTTTTTTGTTGTTATTTTCTTTGTGCTTTGTGATGTGTTTCTTTTACTCTTTCTTCTTCTTAGGAAATAGTGGCATGAGAGAATTATTCTGTTTTTTTTTCTTTTACTTTTCTTTCATAATGAGTAGGATTCATGTTTTGGATTTTGGGATGCATGCTTGAAGAATTCTTAATTATAAATGTGATGATTTTTACTTGCACTTCATTTACATTATAATAAAGGTCTGTTGTAGTTTTAAAATTCATTGTAATTGTATTAAGACTCGAGAGGGCAGTGTAATTCTCAACAAAGTGGAACCACATTCAAATTCCATGGATGCAAATAAATAGGGAAATATACTTTGATGGGCTTAGAATTGGAGATTTTAGGTTGATAGACTAAAATCTTCAATTCAGTCTTAGTTTTTAAAGAACTAAAGCATTCTTAGTGTTTAAAGAACTAAGACGAGAGTTAGTCTTTAGGGGAAGGGAAGTAGGAGTCAGTATCCTCCTAGCATAACCACAGATTTAGGGACTAAACCTGAGATTAGTCAATGATTTTCTATAACACTGAATCAGGATAGAAAATTAAAATTGCTCCTATTTGGCATATATAATATTTAATGTATCTCATTCCTTTACATTATCCAATTCACTACATAAGAATAGTAATTTTAAAAATCTTAAAATTCTCTAAACCAATTCATCCATAAATAATTTTCTTTAAAATTTAATATTTACATTTAGGAATAGTTATTATCCTTATATTTAAAATTCACATTTAGAAGTAGTTACTAGATAAAACATCATTTTAATCGACATTCCAAACTAAGGACTAATTGTAGTAAACTGAAATTTGACTAAGGACATCTTTCCTCGCTTCCTCGTGGGATCGATAACCGGGGTTTAATCAGAAAGTCCTATATTACTTGAGCGATACATATACTTACGTTTATATCATTGTGAGTATATAGAATATATAAAATTAAGCATATAAAAAAAATCTCATCACTTCCTTCCCTCGATCGGCGAGTCGTTGTTATGGCTATGGGTGACCTCACCAAATTGTCTCCTCTCAAAAGTGGCAAGCCTCTGTTGCATTGAAAGATTTCCCACTGCATACGTCTAAAGTGAACTCATGAACACCTCGTTGCGGGTTTCACCTTAGCGGCATGACATCTCATTCTTCCAATGAAAATTTTGAGGAAAAAAAGATATGATTTAGGGTTTAGGTTTAGAGCTAGGGCTAAGTGGAAGATGTAGGGATAAAAAATTTTGTGGAGGTGTTAGGTTATGTCGTATAAATTTTTGATTTGGTTATAAGAGAAAAACTCTAAAATTTAAGGTTTTATCGGGCTCTAATACCAAAGAAGGTCTTTAGAAAGCAACTTTAGCAGAGAGATGGTTATGGAGTTGCAAAGTTATGGTAATATGTGAGTTTAGCAAAACGACATGGTATGGAGGTAGAGGAGCTTCTACCACTAATTCCCGAGTAAGATAGAGAGACACTACTTGCAAAAAGAAAGGACAACACTCAAAAGAGCTTAAAATAGAGAACGTCTCCAAACACTAATAAAACCAAAAGTCCCTCAAAATCAGAATAAACAAACATATGAATAGTCTCTTTCTGAAAAATACATAATTAAAAGAAAAGAAATAGAAAATAAACTAAAAAGGAAAAAATCCACGTGATATTTGATGGCAGGATGATTGCTTGGTTCACCTATCTCGTGTTCGCAACATTGACATTTTCTGCAACAGAAGGAATCGGGCGAGATCAATTTTGCTTGCAGAATCTTGGAATCATAGAAATCCTACGATCGGGATCATAAAATCAGTGAAACCCGCAGGAATGTAGCATCTTCACAAAATGGGATTGCTGAACCCGTGCAGGATGCCCCCTCTTTGAGGCCCTTTGTTCGATTGCTCGGTTAGACGAACACGAACTAGAAGGAGCGTAGTTCTCAGTTTCTACAAATTTGGCATAGGGCGAGCGGATTTGTAAGTCGATGACTCGTGAGAGGGAGGCTAGAGCAAGCCAAATCAATCGCAGAGACAAAACCGCTCATAAAGTTAGCGAAATGAAGAGAACAGTTATGCAATCTATTCAAACAGTTCGAATGAAGTTTTTTTATCAAGCAAAAGAGACAAATGATGAAACACTGCGATCTTGTTGAGTGGAAGAGACAAATGATGGAACAGAGCATTATGGTTGGGTAGAAGATACGAACTGGAGCACGACAATTTGTGTACGTGAGGAGACAATATAGCAACAATTGCTGATCATGCATACGAGAGATGGAGCAACAGTTGTGGGATAGGGTGCGGCCTCTCATGCAAACGCAAATGAAAGATTTCTCAGAGCTATGATACAATGTGGAAAATTATGAAAAATATTCCTATTGCACTCTCAATAACGAATTACATCCTACTATAAGCAATAGAATGGCTAACATGCCAGTCCAAAAATTAGGAAACTGGAATTCCTTCAAAATTGGAATCCCACATAATTACAAACCAGTAAAAAAAAGAATTGTGTAATAAAAGAAACAAATAGATATTAAAATATATTTTGAGTAAATGAAGTGAAATTCTTCCATATATAGAACGTAGGTCGGTTACTTCCAATAGGTGGCATGAAGTAAAATTTCTTCTAAGGAGAAAAAAGCTCATGCCAACAGAAAATGTCTTTGTAAGTGTCTTTTATCATTGTTCATCATACTAGAATATAGATATCACATTTATGTGTTAAACACTATAATGATTCTTACTACATATAATGCAACTTTAGAAGGTCACGAGAGTGATTTTATATGCTAGGGTGCATCCACATGGAACTGACCGGCTACATATTACCACTTAATTGCACAAAATCACCTATTCATATTGTACACCCCAAGGGACATGCGTGTTTAAGCTAAAATAGAGACAAAATCAAAGAACTAACTAGTTGAGCTCACGAGGCATTTACATGCCAGGAAGTTGGTGGAAGTTGGTGAATTCACATGCCAACTAAGAAGAGGAATAGTTAATAGTTTCAAAAATAACCCACCTCAGTACAATCCACCAGGCATGTTAGAACCGTCCAACCCATACAATCATCTATGTTTGAAGAAGCTACCAAAAGACCAACCAATTCCTCTACGTTGATTACTAGTTTGATTCCAAGTCTATACTCAGGGCACTTGCTCCTATTCTTTCTATTATCTTAGAGTTATTAAATGTACAACAAATACTATTCATACTCAGGTCTCTCTATTTATAAATAAAGGTTTTTGAGGAGAGCATAGGGTGTTGGTTCTAACTTCTTTTAGTCACTCATTTGAGCCAACAGTGGATTTGACTCCCAAAGTTCCTTGATCTCTCTCACTCTTCACGTGTATATTTTCAATTAGTAAGGTCATGCCACAATCCATGGACAATTCTGGATCCAGCACATATTATGCTTCTCTGGGTTATAATTTGCACCCTCTCACCGTTGTTTATAAAATTGAATCAAAATGATATGCTCAATTCGGAATAAAATTCATAGGCTATCAACAGCAGAAAATCAAAGAACTTTTAAGCTATACTCTCATATGAACTACTTTCTTTGTTCAACATTATTTCCTTTACTAGTTTGAACTCCTCTCCAAAGTAGCCACCCTAATTCCATTAAGCAAGTGGAAGAGAGATAAGGAAAGGGATGGGAAAAAGTGAGAATTAGAGAGAGAGAGAGAGAGAGATAGAGAGAGAGAGAGAGAGAGAGAGAGAATAATGCAAGAGAAGATGTAAATCTATAAATTTTTATTACTTCAAGATAGAAATGAGAGACTTTAAGTAGAAACTTGATACTTAATAAACACTTAAAACATTAAAAGTTGAAAATTGCATTTAGTTGTATCCAGGGGTTTGATTACATTACAATTTAAACAACAGTATGAGTAATAACATAATTATTATTTTTATTATTATAAAAAGTGTAATAGTTTAACATTACCTTTTTAATAATTAACCAAAAGAATTTTGCTTCAAACTTATTTATAATGATATAAAATTTATTTATAAAAAAACTGTCAAATTAAAGCTTACTATAAACACAAGCATGATTAAGCAGAGCAAATGAATGACCTTTCTGATGATAATGGTGTTTTACAAGACTAAAAGCCCTACTTATAGATCTGTAAGTTGTAGTAAAGAGGGTTGGTCAGTCACTATTCATCTTCCTTCAATAAACTATTCAAATTTTGAAACAATACGAAATAACTTCACAAAATTTTTAAGCTTTCACAAATTGAAAATGCGAAAGGTAGTATCTGCTATAAATTTAGCAGATTTAGAGCAGTTTATTTTAAAGTATTTATGATCTGATTAAGCAATTTATTACTAAGAAAATATTATATCATAGGGGAAGTCTTCTTGAAGAAAATGTGTGAAAAATGATTTATCCAAACAATGTCTTTCCAATAAATTTTAATCTCGGGCTCCCAAGATAAATATTCATGAAAAATAATTGGTAGATGGATAGCTAAAAAGGCACGGGTGGCGACATTAAAGCAAGCTGGGCAGGCTTGTGAAGACTTGTCCTATGTCCTGTCAAGGAAGGCTAGACAATTACATGAACAGAGAATTTAGCATCGGTTAATATATGGAAGAAATGTTCTGTTTTAGTGGTGGATACCTTCACCAAATTATAATAATCAGATATTAAAATACATGATGGTTCAATTGGAGGGGTACCTGCTATATAAGCAAAATGGATGTGACTTCTCTGCCCTTGAACAGCCATCTCAAATTGTGGTAGTGTGGCTTCAATCTTTCGTATGCGATTTAGCACTTTATGTCCTCTAGCTGCTGTAGTCATCACTTGTTGATGTACACCATGGAAAACAACTGCAGCCAACCTATGGAACAACCAAATTAGTCAGTAAAGATTTCATTTAGAGAAGTGCAGACTAATAAAATTAGAAAAAATGTTAGGTTAGCAGTTTAATCAGAGAAACAATTACTTGGGTGACATAGTTGTCCATCCTCCGCCGATAGACAATTTGTGAAATCTTACCTTTCAAATAGAGCTAAAACTAGCAAGTTCATACAAAACAAACAAAAATACCTACAAATTCCGACTAAGCTACATCAAAAGATTAGTTTAAGACTTTATGATGTTCATTGTAGAAAAAAACATCATACTTTTATTCATAAGAGTAAATAATAAGCAAATATAAAGAACACAAACACTAATAAAGACTAAGTGCCAAAAAAATGCACCAAGATTCCTATGATTTTGCTTAAGTAGCTTATGATCATTGGAGACGAGAAATAATTTGGTCCACTATAATGAAAGTCAAACAGATATAATAGAGGGCATAAACCAATCTTCACCTAGAGAAGGAATTAACAAAAGTCCCAAATCCTAAGTAAAGAACAAGGCCATCAAGCCAGGGTCAAGAGTAGATAAACTTCCCAAATTTTATTTCAAGATAAAGAAATAATAAGGCATTAATCACTAGTCTACGTATAGTCATTTTAGAACATAGACCATTAAGAAAACCATAAATATCATAGAATTTCGAGGGATATAAAAGGAATAGGGGCAACAGCAACATATTTTAAATGCATGAATGTGTCTTCCAAATGGTGAATGAAACTTCTTCCAATCATGAATCTTCAAGCTGGTCATCCCACTTGAAGCATGTTCTTGGCTCTTTGCTTAAATAAAAGCTTCCTTGTACGCATGAATCCATCCAATGGCTGAATTCTATAAATACATGAATCCAAAAAAAAATAAGGTCATAAGAAAGTTCTTTTGCATGTACCTAAATATGAAAAGCCTTGTGAAATTTCAATGAACCTAAACTTGATTCTTTAGCTTCCATTGAATGAATCTTAATTTTTGTGTTGATCCTTGAGCTTCCCATGGCCAAGTCTTCCTAGGTCTACCTCTGCCTTTGTTAACATGAGTCGAATCTAAAACATCTACTCTCCTAATCAGATCATCAGATGATTGACATTTAATGTAACCAAACCATCTAAGATGACTCTCTCTAATAGCTAATCATTCTCATCTCGGCAACACTTAACTTAGTACTATGCTTCTCTTTTAATGGCCAACATTCAGGGCCATAGAGCATTGCAGGTCTCACCACCATCTAATAAAATTTTCCTTTCAGTCTAAGCAGTATTTTTCTATCACACAGAAGGCCAAAAGCATTCCTCCACTTCAACCAACCAGCTTGAATTCTACTATTAACACCCTTATCTATATCAACAACGCTTTGAACAACAGACCCAAGATATCTAAATCGTTCACATCTTTTAATAATTTGATCAACCAAAATTACACTTTTGTCACTAGAGCTATTAATACTAAAATTACATTCCATGTATTCAGTTTTAGTTCTACTCAAATGAAAGCCTTTAGACTCCAATGTAGGCCTCCATAATTCAAGTTTTCGTGGGCTTTTTCTCTCGTCTTATCCACGAGAAGGATATCATCAACAAAAAGCATACACAAAGGTACTTCCTCCTATAAATGACCAGTAAGACCATCCATAACTAAAACAAAAAGATATGGTTAGAACAGGACTGGTATACATGTGTAAGAATAATAAAACTAAATTTATTCCATGATATCTACATCACTTTGTTTCTTTAATCAGTTCTCTCTGTTTAAATTATTGGAACCGACCTCCAACTAAGTGATTTAGATCTTCACCGAACCCTGATGACCTCTCTTCTGGTCAACCCTTCATTTACCTTAGAGCTCTAAAATAAAATTAAAATAAAACATGCAGAAATGGAAATTAAATGCATTACCTTCAATCAACCTCTGAAGTTGGACCGAAATGCAGCTCGACGAGGGGATATTCTGAAATTATCGTTTTAATGTCTTGAAAATATTGTTTCCTCCACAAATCATTATAATGCTTGATATTTCATGTTATGAGTTTTATTTTCCCTATTATAGATGTATGAATAGTGTGAAATAAGTTTCGGCGGCTATCGGACGACTTTTTATATGAATGTTTGTGCAAAGAGTCTTTATGCATAAAAATTCATCCCACAAAATTTTTCAAACGGATTGTCAGTTTGCAAAATGCACTCCGCAAAAGCATCTGGATCACCGAAATCTTTCAAATGAACCTTCTATGCCTAAATCAGTTTGCGTCTTGAGAGTCATTCAGCCTACGATAATTATGATTCTACCCTTGAAATGAGCCCAAATGAACTTGATGCTCAAAATACAATCAAATTGAGTCAAGAACATCAAAATTTACTAATTGAAAGCTTATTTAAGCTCGTCTAAAATCTCACTTTTTCGTGGGATGGGACCAAGGGATTACTTGGACTAATACCAACACAATTGGATTCCTTGAGTTTGTTTCTTTTAGAATAGAATGAGGCTGTAATTTTTGTTAAAACCCCCAAATTTCAGCCCCTGGACACACACGGTGGCACATGTGCATCCGCATGTGAGCGCAAATGCGTGCCCCCGCATGTGCACCAATGCACGGACCCAAGTGCGTGCCCCCACAAAGTGTCTCAAAAGGCTAAATTCGGTTTTATCTTTCCAACTCTAGCATAGTTTATATATTTATCTTTGAAATTTATCTTTAAGAATTAATTCATATTTTTCCAAATTTAGGATTACTTTAAAGATTGTAATGTTGCGTTGAATATTTTGATTGAAATGAAAAATATTGTTTTGAGAAAATATTATTTTGTTTCAATTTAAACTTCATTTAAATGTCTTTTGGCCATGTATGTTTCAAAAATTCATTGTGATCTTATGATTTCGATGAAAATATAGTGGAACAGAAGGGTAGAACACTCAAATTTTTTAAGAGCACACATATATAATTTTTGGATAATTACAATATTATAAGAATTAGATTTCATGAAATCATTTGCATTAATTAGAATAGAAGTATTCCTAATAAGTAATATGATGATTCAAATCTGTCAACTCTCAACAAAGATTAAGAGATAGTTTTGCCATTGATTGATAACTAGACGTTGAAAACTTCACGCATATTTGCAAAAAGAATTTTAGATAATTATAAATTCAGAGATCCTTTCAATTTGTTAATTTTTTTCTTTTAGAGTTTTTCTTTAAGCAGACTAGTTGGATAAAATTTAAGTTCACAAAATTAGTAATTAATTTAATTAAAATTAAGTAATCAATTCTCGTGGGAACAATATCTTATATTCCACCTCATTATTTGAAATGATATGCACTTGCGTACACAGTAGAGACCGGTAAATTTTTTTATGTCATTACCGAGGATCGACAACCAAATTTAGTTAAGTTAATTTTAGTTTTAAAAATCTAGTTTAATTCAGCTCTTTATGAAATTTGTTGAGTTAATCATCTTTTTTATTGTTACTGTTTTAAATTTGCACTACATTGTTGAGTTCTATTTGATTGTTTAGCTAAAATCTGCTTGCAAATCTATACTATGAATTCTTAGGTGTATCGTTACAGCACCATTCAGCTAGTGCCACTGCACTATCTTAATGTGCTGCAGCACGTGCAGCTCCACAACGCTGCTACCCTATTCTATTTTTTAAATAGAGGGTCATTTCTACAACAAAGGGTTAATCAATCACCTGTAAGAAAAATCAGATTCTTACTATGTACTCTTTCTTTCTCTCCTCCTCCCTTTATCTCGCATGTTTTATGCTTTATTCCTTGGATTGTGTTACCAACAAGAAGAGGAGCACCAGGAGAAGAAGTCCATCAAGGAGATGCAGTGAACATGGAGTGCACCAGGGAATTTGTGGAGCAACAGATCCAAAAGATAAAAGACCATTTGTTCGGCTAAATGTTAAAGGCCATTATAGAAGTATTAGCAGGAAGAAGAGGACAAAACTCCCAGGAAAAACAGGCACCCAACAATCGGAGTGGCCGAAGAAAAAGCGAAGGATACCCAATACCAACATAGTGTTGGATAGATAGCGAATCAGGCGCACGGAAGCCACCAGCCTGCCAGAAAATGTGTTGTCCCAGCAGATTTCTGTCGGATTGATCTGACCAAACACATTGCATCCTTCGAGTCGATTGTTTGCATGTTGAAGATCACCAACGCTCTAAATTGTCGCCACTTCTTCACCACACAGAGGGAGTTGGCCCTTAAGTGGTTTAATGGATTATCCAACAGGGTAATCACCTCTTTAGTTGAATTCAAGAGGATGTTTGTGGCACAATTCGCCCACACTCAGAAGTCGCGAAAGAGTTCGCAAACCCTGTGGCAAGTTAGACAAGGGAAACATGAGAGTATATATAACTCAATTCCAGAAACAAATGTTGGAGGTGTGGGATCTGAAATTCACAGTAGCGCATACTGCCTTATCTCAAGGGCTGAGGGGAGAATGATTTTGATACACCCTAGGCTTGCAACAGCTGAAGACATTGATCGAACTGTCAAGATGGCCAACAACCACATTGTAGTCGGGGAATACGTCAATGGTCCCACCTACCACAAAGCCGAATGATCCGACCGTTGCTCGCAAAAGAGAGCCCACAGAATAACGGGTGGAGGCCAAGGAATGGCCAACTTCCTCCCATCCATCCCCGACATGACAGAGAGGCCAAAAAGAGACATAAGGGATTTCGTCTGGCTAGGTAAGTCGACTAGCGACCAAATAACTATCACAAGGGGCTAGCGAATGACCACGCGGTACCAAAAGGTACTCCACTAAATGTCTTGATGGCGAAGTTAGTGGATGTCATACATGATAAGGAGTACTTAAAGAAGGAGCCCCAATGAGGGCCGAAGCTTTTCTCCGAGAACCCAAGAAGTATTGTGCTCACCCCAGAGACCATGGTGATGACATGGAGGAGTGCATGCACCTCCGGAGTCTGGTCAAGTAACTAAGAAGAGTTGGAAAGCTCAAGGAGTTT